AAATGAATTGAAATTCTTATACAGTTCTTATTTATTAATGCAATAAGTGTGTGCAGAAAGTGTGCTCATTAGCATGATTGGAAAATGTAGACGAGATCATTTAACTTAGTCTGTAACGCTGATTAAATTTTTGAACATGCTCCTGTTGAAGTTGTCGTCGCGTTGGTGATAGTTGAACGAAAGAAATGTAATTGTAAATAGTGTCCGGGGCTCTTGGTCTCCATTAATTTTCTCCCCTTTGTTCGGTTTGCTTATGCTAGTGCTTGGTCCGTTGGTAATTTTACAAATTGCTACGACACCCTTTTCCCTCCTCGGTCGATTAGCTTTCGTTCTCGATCGTTAAACCCGGAACCGTACTACGCCAATAAAGTTCGATTGTATCGGGACCAGGAAGTTTGCACAGAGTATACTGTCGATAAACACAAGGAAACATCGATCCCGCCATTGTGAATTCAACATAAACTTGTCACGCAGCGATCTCGATTTGTGTTAGAAGTCCTCGTTCCACAAGAAAATACATTTCATTGCTAACAAGAATTTTAAATAGTTTCGAGAGAAAGCGAGGGATGTTCTATCGAAATAAAATACCCCAATTCTATTTAGTACAATTTCTAATGAATGAATTGCAATGGGAATGGGAGGAGGAAGATGACCAGAGGCCTGAGGTCGGTTGGACCCATAGTGGTCACCGGACCCTCGACGGACCGCTGACGATTGTGGTGGGGGCTCGTCTGCGCACGACGGCCCAGAATGGTAGAACCGTTCTGCGCATTGGTCGTGGAGTGGGGATGGACCCGAGTCTCGAGAGAGCCTCAGTCTGTGCGCAGAAGGACATCGCGTCGCATATAGGTAAATCCCAGAGTACTCACAACGCGTTTGAGGTAGGTCAACTTGTGGTTTTTAATAGGCCCTTTCCCAGACCATTTTTAGCACTAAATCTACCACGACGTTCAAGAGTTATGATGTTTTAAAAATACACGTGAAACTTCAAGGTAACGTATCTTCGAGGAACACTCATTTTAAAGAGCTCTCCATCTTCTATCTGGTGAACATGCCAACTATTATTATTCATTCTGTCTTTTACATTTATTTTGAAATTCTTCGAAGAGTTCCTTCAGTTCATTCATTTTTCCTCAATAACAGTTCACATTAACAATTATCTGCATTCAAAAGACCTTTTTCATCTTGAAATATAATATCAAAGAATTTCTTTAGTTCGTATTCTGTGCCGTGTCATACTTTGCTTCGAGGCCACATTGCAAAGACAATTGCCGCGATATGCATTGGAAAGACGTTATAGTTATATTGAATCCAATTATTTTAAACGCTTCGTTTCTGAAATAATATACACGGTGTACCACCCCATTCGATTACCTTAGATATCTCCGTTCCTTTTCAATTAAATTTGCTGAATCCAATTTTACGATAAATACGTATTCCCTAAGTTAAGAGACTATTTATCGTATATGTTCACTTTTAGTTTGTATTTAAAAGAAGCTAGAACCAATATTTTAATTTAATTCATTTTCGTTGCGTCGTATCAGGGGCCAGAATCGATTGCTTAGATAAAAAGTACATATTTGCTATTGACCAACGGTATTAGGCGTCCCGTTTCTGTTTACCGAATATTGGGTGATTTTTGTACTAAGCTTTAGCATAGAAAAAAGAAGTATTAAGCGTTTACTGCGTAGAATAGAGTGTTCTGAGCGTTTTTGAGTTGGATTATAACGAATTCCTTTTGCACCGGAATATTCTCCGTCCTTGGTATACTACAGACAGCTTGTTAACATGCACATGGTGCCAGCGCTTTGACAGCTTCTATAAGCTCGTGGCAGCCGTCGAAATTGAACAGTCGCGCTCAAAGGTTGCCGGACATAACCCGGTAGACAGGAGCAACAGAGAAGACGTTGCTGCCTCTAATAGAGCTCCTCTACGTCACGTTCCAACCGCGATGTGATTGCATCCCGTGTTTTGCCTTTAGAATCTACGGTGTGAAACCTCGCCTATTGTATCGGGTAATTTGTCGGTTCATGAACAGTCACCAAGGAAAATTTCTCCGTGGGCTCTGTCAAACGTTCACTTCCCTTATCGCAAGGAGGCACACCTGTTCCCCTAGATATTTCAATAAAATTCCGTAGAACATTCCGATAGGCATTTTTATTTAACAAATAGGATTTACACCACGAAGATTTTGAGCACTAATTTTCTCTCAAGAAACTGCGTTGAGATCTAATCCCCCGTGATTTTCATTTTGAATAGTTAAATTTCATGCGAACGAGGCGAAGAGAGGGAGAGTAGTTTTAAGTAGATTTAAGGAACAAACTTAAACAATAACGCAAAATGCAATATCTCTTTATTGCAACCGTTCAGTATCGCGTGTCAGGTGTTTTCAATCGGAACAGAAATTATACATTGGCGTATCGATAAACGTCGAGGTTCCATCGGCTCGGATCCCGAGCTTTCAGTAAGATGAAGCTCAAATAAATTGCTGAGCAAAGAGCAAACCCGGAAATAGCTTGATGGATGAAGACACAAAGCTAGCAGGAAATCCAATAACAACGAACTGTTTCCGCGAGATTCGAGAGTCGACCGTGTCGGGTTTATGTTTTCCCGTCATCGATCTGTTTTCTTATCTCTTATCGGCGAACGCATATGTCCTCCGCGGTGTATCGGGCGGCTCTGGAGCTCCGGAACTACGTCTAGAATAATTCCACGCTGCGTGGGGAAATTCTTTCGACCGTCGACTCCCTGGAAAGGATCGGATTTCCTCGAAAATGGAGGGGACGATTAAAATTTTTAATTCAGTAAGCCTTCATTTTTAACTAGTTGTAATTTACCAAAAGCTACTGTTACTGGAATTGTCAATAGTAATCGAGAAGTTAATTTTTAATTGTGCATTTGGCCGCGCGCAACCTTTGAATAATTCACGAACTCCGCGGACAGTGAAAATTGAAATTTTCGCCCTTCGATGCTCGGGGATTGGTTGCTTGAAAAATGGAGGCTCGGAGGATGCGTAGCCGTCGAGGTTTCTCATTTGTTGTCCGGTAAAAGCGAAGCAATTTCGCCCTTTGATACGGTCGAACAAAGGTGAACCTTCCGGACAAAGGTTTGGGATTAATCGAACAAAACGCGATCAGTGGAGTTATGCAACTCGCGCTAATTAGACGTCAAAATCGATATTCGACAGTTTCGTATGGACAACACGTTGCCGGGAATTTGCATTTCGGCCGAAAACATTACGATGAATCCGACGTTTGCGTCGATATTTCACAAGAGAAGAGCTCCCGAGATCCCCGGTCGTTTCGCGATCAAACATTTCCAAACAGTCGACAGGTCTTTTACAATTCTGTTACGCGTTCGCTCGCTGGAAAATGCACCTGAATTTTTCATAAAATCTTCGCATTATTTATTTATTTGTTTACGGATTTGATCACCTTTTGATATTAAATGACATATCAGATACAATTCTACGTTGCTCAAGTGTGAGGAACCCTAATCTTGACAAAATTGAGTCACAGTGATGACAAGTAATCGGAATAGAACTGCCCAGCTTATGCGAGGGATTTATGGTGAATTCATTCTTTCATTGCAGTCTATGTAGTAGTAGGAGCTCCAAACAGGGGAACAATATTCAAGATTAGGAAATACTAAAGCGTTAAAGACAGTATTCAACAGGGTTCTTGAAATGTGTTGACATTGATACACACAAATATACATTCGTTAATAGAGTCGTTATTTCCCCCAAAAAATTATAATTTGTACAATTATAAAGTTAGAAAACGCTATAAAGGACACTGTGCGTTGTTTTTAGCGGCCAAAGTATCCAGCGAGCGCCATCGACGTTGTGCAGAGTCGGAAGTATCAACCCGTGAGGGTGAATGAACCCGCGAAATTCTGTTGTAGCCGTACGCGATTCACCTGGAGTCTATTATTAACCCGTGCCCCGTGTCGTGATAACGCGTGGCGCGTGTTCTCGATAAAACGGCGCCTTCGATTGCACCGTTTCAGTTAATAATCACGTCGTTACCGACACCACCGCACGCAGCGCCGGATCTCGTTCAGGCGTCATTGAAATTTCCGGGCGGAGGCGATAACCCAGCCAGCAGAACCCCGTTATTCAAATTTCCAGAAGCTCGGTATTCGTGTTACGTTGTCCGGGGGATCCCCGTACGTTGCACGCGATTTTTCGTAAACACGTTAAACCAGCGTGAGGCCTGCATTGTAATTAACGAGCCCAGGTGACCGGCCACCAGGTACCAATTTCGGTTCGTTATTTTTGGGACACACTTTCCGTTACATCAGAGGCTTCCACGAATTCAACAAATCCAGAATCAAAAGTATTTCTAAGTTTGTATAGTAGCCTCAGCCTAGTAATTCTGCTAAATATTCTATAATTCTTACGTTAGAGATTGATGGTAAAATACATAACAAAAATGTAATTTATTTGATACTGCCCATGATGTGAACATAGTTTGGAGTAAAAAAATAAAATTTAGGCTGCTTCAGGGGTGAATTCGAAATTTTTATTTGCAATTTGGAACTCGGTTTGTTCGGGATAAATTGAACGGTGTTAAATCTGGAGACTTTGCGGGTAGCACAACCGGGTCCACCCCATTCAATCAATCATTTCTGTCACGCCGCAACCAACCTCACTGTCCCATGGTTCCGTTACTTAAAATGCTTGCATTGGCCCCCTCTTCCATCACTCAAATTCCATATACAATTAACTTTGTCGCCTTTGACAGTTGACACTTTTTGAGGCAGTGGAATAATACATTATTTTATTAAGCTCTTGCAAATTTGATATAATTATTAAATAGAGGGAGATTCCAGGAAGCGTAATATGACGTTATTCTGTTTCTTTTTTTGTTTCGTGGTTTGCACGTTTATTATTGTTCTGAAAAACTGTCGAAGGCTTCTTTTGGTCTTCAAGATGGCGTTTGTACGCTCGAATCGTGCACGCGAAAGGGCAGTTTGCGAAGGTCCGTAATGGTACTCACGTGTTCCATCATGGCTGGATAATGGGATGGGTAGAGGGCGTACGCGCCGATCAGATGTGCCACGGAAAAGGCAATGCCAGCGATGCAGGCGTGTCGTAGCCTAATCGGTAGTAGAGCGTAGGCCATATAAATGAAGAAACAAACTGCCCAGGCCGCGGCCAAAGGGCCTCCGCTTCGATGTTCTTTGGAACCAAGGGCCAGGTGGATGTTGAGCGCCACTTGGAGGGCCAACAAAGTCACTAAAACGATCCCACTGACTCCGGCCAGCCAAATTTCGTTCATTCCTGGCCTGGATATCGCCGCCACCAAAGCTGAAAGTGCAAAGAACGTAAAGAATTTATAATTCATTGGTGCAAGAACAAATTAAAATCATTTTAAAAATGATTTGAAAACAGTTTTCTTTAATAATATCGGTCAGCATTTTAATATTGATAAATGAACCTTTGACAGTGATCGTGTCCCTATAGAAATTTCGATCACTGTACTAATCGTACAGATGTTGAACGGAGAAACGACGTTAACTGGGCAGAAAATAGACAACGTTTCGCGAAAGGTTTGTTGGTCCCTTTCTTCTGTAAATTGATTAAACTGTAATCCTTATTTTCTCTCGATTTACTCCTTCCTTTATAATCCAACTGTCCCGACAATCTGTTTACTGCAAAATGGAATATCGAGGTCCGTATTTATTCCCTCTCTTACCGGAAAAATTTCTGCCCCCCGGATAACTCGTAGTTGAAAGAAAGTGATTGAATGCTCTTTGAATGGATAAGAGATTAAATATCCGAGACGTTCGAAGAACATTTAATTAAATGTTTAATGCTGAAAGCTTCGAAGTTTGTCAAGTCTGATAAAACCAACTTAAGTTGTAGCTTCCATCTACTATACGAAGTGTGACGAGTGGCTTTGTCGGTGAAAAGTTATGTAAACTACGTACGCGTTACCGTCTTATTGTATCTCGTCGAATTCAGATAAGAGTCAATTTCTGTCAGTCTATTTCACCTTTCGTGCCACGAGAAAATAGTCTCGAGGCTTTGTCGACTCTAATACATAACACGACACAGAAAAGACGCTCGTTCAAGGTTTTCACCATTCGAATTCAAAACTAGCAGTCTGTCGACTAAAAATACGATTCTTAATCTCAACAATTAATTATAATCGAATTTTTCCGTATGTTTTTTATGTAAAAAGAGAAAGTAAAATAAAAAAAATGTTGAGTTTCTAGACATTGAGTTTGTACGCATAGATTGGACGTCTGACCGTGCTTAGTCTAATACTACTTGTCGGAGGATCGGCCAGCGTTGAGTTCCTCTACTGTCACTTTCAAATAGGAACTTACTTGTTATTATTATTCGATTAATAATTTTATAAAATACACGAACACTTTATTATTTGATTAATATTAAGTAATATTGAGGTATATAGTGCTAATAAAATAGTAGTGCCTCGTGAGAATTATTTTAATACACCAAGTGAAAACTAGATGTTCCAAGAACACAGTGCTCCATAACAGAAGTTTAAAATAAGAATTTCCGAAGATATTTCGAATGGAGTACGCGTATAAGCATTGTTTTGTTAAACTTTCGTATTGTGTTTCGACGATCAGTCTAGTCGGTAATATTTTATAAAGTTTGTAAATAAAAGAACGAATAGCTGTAATCGGGCTTTATGAAGACTGATTAAGACCTATCGAATAACATGGAGATCCATTGTGCTTGGAAACTTTGAAAACTTTGATTCACGCTTACCAGCGTAGACTGCTATACAGAGAAGCAGCGTGACAGCCAAAGACAGATTCTCAGGCCTCTCGAGCATGACTAGAAACTGTTCATTGTCCTCCAGGATTAGTCTGGAAATTAACAGGAGGCCCAGAGCGATTGCCAAGCCAGCTAGCAGTCCAAGCACGTGCGTCATGTTGCTCTGATTCATTCTCAGGAAATATCTTTGATACAGCATCTCCACCTGAAAGAAGTCGACTATCGTTTCTTATTTGTCCACTCGTTTATTTTCCTATCATTTTTCTGTACAGACTATTAAAATTTTGCGTGGGTGTTCGGGTTGTCGTAGCTGAAATAAATTTGTTTACCCTCGTATTCTGCTACGTAGTTAATATTTTCGCATATTGAATATTCTATATAGAAAATCTCAAACCCACAGGCTCCCAATTTTGCATTAATAATATTAATGGTACGTCTATCCAGTATTTCTTCTTTTACTAAATTTCTCTATGGCCACCGGTGTTAATTTCAACTTTCTATTGAAATTGCTTTCTAACATTAACGGTATTACCAATTTCGAGACTTCGTGGAACGCGTATTAGTCAAACCGTAACGTTATGTTTATTGCAATTTGCCCTGTTTGATTCAACAGAGACTCGTTGGAACTGCTTCGATACGGTTAACAAAGACATGGACGCCCATTGAACGTTCCTCGCGCGAACTTGTCGGAAATGTATCGCCGCGTTTCCTGCGAACACAGCGAAAGGGTTCCCGATAACTTAAAACGTATAGAAATTTGTACCCAAAGCTGGAAGTTTCATTACAAGCAGAATTATTGATAACGTCTCGAAAGCGTGTGCATTCGTTTGGCTGGAAATGGTTCAGAGACTGAATCTGGTGGAATGTCAGCCGGAATTGCACGACCTAAATGAGACATTATATAGGGTGGGGCACGGTAAAGTGTACTCCCATTATTCCCGTTCCATTGTTCTTCCGTACTGGACCCATAAACATCTCCCTTATCGTGGATTACGGCACGTTGGGTAGCTTTTTAAAAAAAGAACCGTGCAAATAAAATACGTAGAATATGAGCACACGAACGCACCCAGAAATGTTACGGAGTCTGTAGATTCAAAAATATGTTTAATTTTTTAATTTCTACCGATTTTCAAAATAATCAGCCTTCCTCGTTTTTCTTTCGATTGAAATAGGCTTTTGCAGTCTTATTTTTTCTTGTATAAAGTTAAATATACCATCAAAATATCTAAATACAATTTTGTTTTAACTTTGTCTTGCTTTCGTCACAGAACCAATGGGATGCAGAAATGGTTATAATAATATAATCTTTTTTTCATTGATATCCTAGTCTAAATCGTTCTGCACTCTGTATGTTTAAATATCTGTTCGTCAAACACACCGTCGCGTAGGAAGGTTAATTTGGTCGGTGGCCATCCGTGGCAAACAGGATTCCGACCACTGATACCGGAAATGACGGAGGCGTTGCACGGTTCACCTTGTATATTACATTAAACGGAGACATTGCACGTATCCCGGTGTCGACAGATTGCAGTTCACGCGAAATACGGGTATGCAACGTTTCCGCGCGGAAAGTAGGCGCGCTGATGCTGAAAGGTGAAACGAGATCGTCGAGTGAGAGACGGTGCACGCTCGAGTAAATAAATTAATTAAAATTAATTATATACCGGTTCAGTTCGCTTCTGTTCGCCGTTATCCCGTTAATTTCTTTACGATCGCAGCTAACCGTGACATTTAAACGTTTTTAAACGATCGAAACTAAGTAACACCGTGCTTTCTTATTAATATTTCCCGTGAGAAAAAATCGCTGGAAAATTTCAGTCGTTTGAGAGCCGTGCGACGTTTTCACGATTTTTCGACGTTCGAACGGTGTTCGTCGATTACCGCCACACCCTTTGCGATTCAAATATTTTTCTTCGAGGCCGCCTCTGCGACCTGGAATATCATACTTTCGCGTTCGATAACGGCTGCTCCGTCGACTACGTTTCAAACGAGATCACGTAGTTGATTTTCATCGTGGCGACAATCTCTGACGCGATCAAAATGGAAGATTACAACGTAGCAATTTACGTAATGTCGATGGAACGGGCTGTAGTATATTCTCAGATATGCCAACGCGTGGGAATGAAGCCACGTTCGCTTAAACGGGATTTGCATTGTGTTATTCGATGTGAATCGCGAGTAGGGGGTTCAAGATCAACGATACGGTTGTCTATTATGAATGACGCTCTGCGATTGCAACGATTTAAATTTACGTTCCTGTCTGCCTTTCTCTATGAACTCGAATATCAGTAATTTTCTCTCGTCGAGTTCTGGTTCCACACCAGTAATTCAATCTCTGTCCAGCTGTCTTTACTTTTAATTAGTCTGTTTTTCATCGTTCAAAGCGTTCTCGACGAGATTAAATGGATTCACCGCGAATTTTTCGATACGGGACAGTTAACGCGGCTCGTTTCAACCGCAGATTTACGGAAACGTTTGCTGGACACCGCAGATACGTGGTCGAATCCGGCGAAGAAAGATGAATGACCGGAACTTCGAGTTCGAAACAGTTGGTAACTGGTTTGCGCCGTAGTTCGTCGGATTTCCGATGGATACTAACTTGTTGCACAACTGTATTTTCCTGTTTAACCGAATGGAACTAGGATCACGCTCGTCATGGCCGTCAGGATGTTTGTTGGATCAGTTTTCAACCGTTGCTCTCCACGCAAATGTTCTAACGGACGTGTAATAAGGTAGTTTCCAAACACGTCCAATTCTCCTTTCACACGAGCTTAGAAAAATCTCTACAATTTTACGAATCACCGTGCATCTGATAACTTAATGTAGGAGATTTGTATTGAATATTTGTGCCACGCTGTAGTTTTGTTCAATGTTAATTTATGTGCAAAAGGGTTGAAAGTGTTTTGTTGAAGAAAGAACGGGTTACTAGGGGCAGCGAGACAACAGGGAGTGAGAAACGACGGACGTGATTTTAATTTGTGTTGCCAATTATTAATTTGTGTGTTCCAAATTCGTTTATTATAATTAATATCATTTGTACATTTGTTCCTCAAATAAATCCTCTTTGTTAAATCCTACATTAATTTAATTTTATTTGTTAATTTTGTTTTATTGTTAATAAACTCGTCGATAATCGAGACGTTTGCCTTAGCGCAGCGGGGGTTGTAGATTCCTGGACGAAGTTTGAAAAGAAAGTTTCGCGACTAAGTGAGTCGGGAACTCGGTAAAAAAATTCAAGGTGTACTGGAAACGCTGGGAGAATATTTTGCGAGAATTACCTGCAAATTTTTGAAACGGTGCGAGGCGCAAAGCGAGTTTAAAAACCGACAGAGCGCGCATTTCCTCGGCCGTTGCGTTATCGACGCGTTCATTGCTTCCTGCGTTGTTTCCCTTCCGGTTGTGAGACCAACCCCAACTTCCGAGCCCCTGCTCATCTGTGGGCAATTCAAGGCACGCTGATTAAAACAACACCATCTCAGTTCGATTGTTTTTATTCGCAAAGTAACAGTCTGTTTCACGGCCTATTGCTTGTAAAAGTAATAATTCCCCTGCTCATCTGTGGGCAATTCAAGGCACGCTGATTAAAACAACACCATCTCAGTTCGATTGTTTTTATTCGCAAAGTAACAGTCTGTTTCACGGCCTATTGCTTGTAAAAGTAATAATTGATAATTTTATTTAAATAAGCCGTAGTTCAATTAATTATGTTGTTTCGGTACCTTGGAAACTAGGGAGAAAGGCTGAATTCGTTTATTTCTGGGTTATTTGTAAGCATCCACAAATTAATTCGTGACAAAACTGAATAATAAAGGGCTGACCCTGCGGGGCTATTAGATAAGAATACATCTTTCGTAGGGGATCTTTAGATAGATTGTTCTTACTGGGTTCCCGATCAGAAGCATTAGACAACAGAATTTTCCAAAATAGGGGATGCTAAACATAAATTATTGCCTTAGAATTCAAGGGGAGAAGGAAGTATTTTCATGTGGATGACTCGGAATGGATTCAAACATTTTCTGCATTAAAACAAATAATTATTGTGCAATTGTAGTCTATTCCGTGCAAGGAAATCGAACTTCAGACCGATATTTCCAACAGTTTTTCCCCCCAATTATGTAGCAGTAGTGGGAACCGAGGTTCGAGGGAAAACGCGTTTAAAGTTTTAAAGTCCGCGCTGCTACATTTAATCTCCTGCAACTTCGCCAATTTTCGTAGCTACACTTTCGTGACTTTAATGCGATATTCTACAAACTTAGAGCTCTGAAATTATATAAACATGAAATTCGATTTCTGCAACCTTGCAAGCTACACTTGTTCATTAATGGAATGGCTTTTTCCCCCAGTCGAAAAGTAAACGTTCCTGAAGTAGAAAAAATATTTTTTTTATATCGATTAAATTACTAATGTCGAAGATGTCTTTAAGTTTGACTATTCTTAGCAGAGAAGAGGACGTAACTTTGGTGTCTGGTCGAAAGAGCCACCAGTTCCCCAATTAGTTTCCCCCGAATCGATGACTCAATTTACCCTATTACCAACCCCTATAGTATATCGGAAACGTCCGAAATATAACGTAATCTAAACCGTTATCAGCGTGTCCATTGGTCCTCGAGGTTTAATCCCATCATCGAAACCTGCCAGCGCATCGGTAACATCCTAAGAAAACAGTTTCCCCGTGCACATTTGTACGAGACCGTGCACTCCCCTCGAGCTAATGTACGTTTTCCCAAATAAGAAGGGCGAGACCAACGGGACAAAGTGGTTTCATCCCCGTTATTGTCCTCGATTTTAGTCCGTGTTTCGTCGGAAGGGTGACTCACCGTGATAATGGAGGGACGGGGTGCACCGGTGAAGTGCTCGATTACCTCCCAGTTGGACTTCCTCAGCGGGGTGTGGGGTGTACGGGGTGTGTTCGGTGTGTGGGGTTGGGAAGACGGCGCCGAGGACTTGGATCCAGGAGGATCGAGGAGCAGCTCGACTCTGGGCTTGCCGCGATCGCTGTTGCTCACATGCTGCCTCAAACTGGCCCATCTTCTGGTGCTCCTCACGGACCCAGTCACTGGCCTGGCCACCGTGTCACCCTGTAAATCATATTAATATCGCTTCATTAACTTGGACCCTTTGTTGCATCTTTTGGAACGATGAAACTTTGAAAATTTGATATCCACACTGTCTCTAGAACTCTTAGGTGATTTTCTCAATAAGAAAGATACGTATCCCCGAATTTTACGTTGAGTTTTAGTGTTACAAAATTTTTATTATGCTCCAGAGCACGTCGGCGCTCTCAGTCGACAGATTTTTGTATTGCATGACAATTCGTTTGACCTGAGATTTAGCGTATTCCAGAAATACCACGATGAAATGGGGCACTTGGATTTAGATAAAACAGTAGATAATATTTCAATTGGTTTCCAAAAGAAAGGGCCAATGCTTACAATAGGTTTGAATTATGATGGCCTCAGAGAAAAGAAAATCGAAACATTCATAGGGGAATAAACTTCATACGTTATTTTCCGTATTTCATGTTTGACAAAATTGGTAACTCGAGTGCAAAACGGATGATTTTCTTAACGGTATCGTGGTTTCCATCGTTAGAATCGCGTATAGCCTGTTTGAAAACGTTTGCGCAAAGTTCTTTGGAGGAAACATCGATACTGTTAAGAAAATAATCTCGTTTGGACTCAGCTTACCAATTTTGTCCAACAATATCCACAATAGACCTTTTCTTATAACGACGATTACCGAAATACATACGCATTGATCGGAAGGTTTATCACGCTCGATTTCAATAGAAGAATGGAATAATCCTTAATTAGCTCGTTTCGTGCGTCGAATTTCGACGCAGAAATATTATTTTAAGCCCTATCGACGTTTTGGTAACATTTCACTGGTAATCGCAATCTAAACCAGAACGCTATTTCCGCTATAAAATATAATTGTAATAATCCTGACTAGTATTGACGTTTTAGCTGCGTTTCATCCTCGATCGCAATCCAACCCAGAAAGCTATTTCCTCTAAACAATAGCTTTCTGGTTTAGATCGCGATCACGGCCGAAACGCAACCGAATCCTCGATAATCTCATTCAATTTTACAAAGAGACTGCACAAAGAATGCGTTACGAATCGACTGAAAAGCGATCGAATATGAACGTTCCTTTGTTATTTATTATTCAGAACCCTTTGGACTAGTTATATTCGAGGCAACGCAGAAAATTTCCATGGTTTTCATCTGTTTGTACAAATTCAATTTACTGTGTTCCTGTTCAGATTCTACCTTACAAAGCAAGGACTTCTAAGAATGCATAAGACTTCACAGTCTGAGAATTGTAACTATAACTCCCGAGTTTTTTTTAATACATTATTTCAATTTTCGAATATTTAACAGACACTTAAAATATTAAATTTTCTGTTTACCAACAGTGAAAATGAATTTAGAAGACATAACTGACCGCTGGTCATTCCACTCTCTCGTCATTCTATTTGTTTTGAATCGATCAACGTAACTATGCCACTTTCATATCGATAGTTTCGGGATACGATGGATTTTAAAGACGTCTCCTTCCATACGATTTTGGTAAAAGAAAGCTTGCGCTTTACTCGAGGGACCATTAGCAAGATAGGATTAACCAAACGTCCTTGAACGTCGCAACGATGCGCCAACGATAAGACACGTTGAAAGGAACAGGATTGAAAGGACGCGAGACGAGGTTTCCCCCGACTGATTAGGAAATAGAAATTTAATGCGACTCGGACGTCCTTTGCTCTCCTTTCACTGGGGCCACGGAGTTGCTTCCTTAAAGAGCTTCCTTGGTGAGTACATGTCCTGTGTACAGGAACGTAGTCACGCGTTATTAAAAATCTCTATTCGGTCACTTTTCATCCCCCCGAGACTTCCATTCATTTTCTCCTATTATTTTCAAGATTGGAACGCAAACTGTTCTTTTACTGTAGTTTATGTTCTGTTGGATCCCATATTTAGTGTAACGAAACTCTATTTAGGTTTGTTATAAGTCACTTCGTCGGACAGTGGCAAAAGAAATCCAAAAGTCTTTTACCATTTTGTCATCCGTGGCTTCGTTTGCTAGATACGAGGAGTTAAATTTTGCACGCGCCATTTGCATTCGAGTCAGCTGATCGCCCGGCGCCATTTGTACTTGCACGCTAGAGACACACGTTTCTCTTTACTTCGATGCTTTCAATGGATTTGAGGCCTTCATTTATTCTTCGTTTCGTTTTTCCCTCCGTGGTACAACCGAATAAATCTTTTGTGTCGAATGTTCTTTGTATTATCATTCTTTTTCAACGGACGTAGACGCTTAATCTTACTTTCAAAATCGTAGATGGGAAAATGTGTCGCTCGAAGGTGAGCTCTCCGGTTGCTCCCTGATCTTAAAATCCTGATGCGTGGGTCGCTGAATTTTTTAAAATCAGGACTCTGCTTTCCCTTCGCGATATTTTTATTTCTATTCCCGCTTCCGCCGATAAAGAACGACGCAGCGATGTAGTCCCCGTGACCCACTCGCGGGAGACGAGTTTCCCGATACTCCCGTGCTTTGTCACGGTTCACGGAAACATTTTTCCTTAATGATGCGTAGGCAAAGTTATTTTCGAATTCGAAGCTTTAAAACATCCCGCGCCTGTAACTCGACGTACTGTCATGCCGTAGGCCCCCATAGAAAATAAGTATTACTCATAGTGATAAGGTTAGTCATAAGCGATACTCCAAGAAGATGACGAACTTGTTAACTCCTTTACGGGGTAAAAACAAATGCGTCATACACCCAGACCTAACCCGGCTGTACCTAACCCAAACATTATAAAAGCGTACCGCTCCTGGCCCTCCGGGCTCATTTTCACGTTTCATCTTGTAAAGAGAGCATCAGTGTTCAGTCTCCGAATAAACCTTAGGGTATATCCTAATATCTTTGTCCGAGAGCGTGAACCTTTCCCAATCTAAAATCAACCTAATATTGTGACGCCGCAACTATTTGGACGAGTCTGCAGCTTACGGCATAACAGTACGAACAAACGGATCGACGAAGCAAAACAAGATTTCGAGAATAGTCAATATTTCACGTTGTTTCTCATATCAACAATTCCATCGAGAGTTGTTTCTTCTCGTAAAAAAGAGAAATTTAAATTAACCAAGATTTTGTTAGTCTCTATAATTGAACGTGTAGAAAAAGAAGTTTGTCAGTTTACCGAAACATGCGTCCGCCGGATTAGCGTGTCTCGTTTTCGGACGCGAGCTCGTAATTCTGAAAGTGCAAAGAAACGTTCCTGTTTGCCGAAGCTCGTTTTTCCTTCTTGTCATCAGTGCTCGCTGATGAAACGCAAATATCCGGTCGGTTTCCCCGTGCCCGCGATCCGGAGCGTTCGAGGAAAACACGAATTTCCCGAGCTTCTTCGCGGATTGGAACCAATTACCCGCTCGTGGAGCGAGAAGAACTCATTAATCTTGCTCCCCTGATCAATAAAGTTCCATAAAGCGCGTTATTTCCGTTCATCCGCGCGAATTAAGCCGCCACTCCGGCGGACCATTGTACACCTAGAAACGGTTGTTTCATGGAATTTTGATAATTCAGCGGACGTCTGCGCTGGAAACGAAACGTTTTTGTTCGCCGGATACGCGTTCAACGCTTTTGTCACCGAGCTTGTCCGCGTTCCGTCCTGCGTTTCGCTTTTTCCGACTGGAGCTCGCTCGCGGAAGCCATTTGGTTTGTTCTGAACGGAACGACAGACTGGAAACTCCATAATTTTATTGTTACTGTTGCTTGTTCGATAGAATATGGCTGTCGTTTCTTCAAGCGTCTCTGCTTCTGCAGATTACCAGGAAATACTGAATAATTACATGATTATTAATTATAATTAGTTAGAAGGAAGAGAAACGTAGATGTTTCGAAGATCTGCTGGTGAACTCGTTACACTGGCGTTGAAGTCTTTTCAATTTCGTTCGAAATATAAATATTAGCCGACAGCAATGGAACTGTTCCAATATTCATCGCGTGCCGATAACTGTACCATCGTTTCCACTGTTTTCGTTTAATTTTCTGGACAATAATACGAGCGTCCCGCGCGAATGGTAAACTTCGCAACGAAAATGTTAATACAGCTCTCACGATAGAACGTAAACAGCTTTCTGTCGTGTCATTACGTTCCTTCGTCCACGCTGAAACTGGCGCCATATTTGTTGAAGAATTTTCCGTAAGTAATTGGCCAGGAACGGACCGCAGATCCCTTGTCAATGATTACACATGAAATCCCCTCTCCATGGAACTTTTCCGCCTCTCTGTTCCAAGTTTGCAGGATACACACGAACCGGAAGTTTCGGTTAACTCGTTAGTAGTTTGCGTTATACTTCGTGGCCCTTGAACTCGACACTGACAAAGTATCACAGAAGCCGGTACCTATTTCGCGGTTAAATAAATTAATCCTAAAAGTTGGGAAACGGAAGTCGCTCAGAATACAGATTCTTGGGGCAAGGAAAACAACGCTAGCCGTGGACGGTTTGACGACAAGCCTGAAAAACGTATTTTCCTTTCGTAAATATTACGTGCTTACTGCAGTTCTTCCGGAAATTACATGTCGCGAGAGTTTAAAAAATACTACAAGAAATATTTTTACTAGCTTTCTTTTTAATTTTATATTTAATTTACAACTCTTTGTTATATGTTCAACTCGCGTTGAAGTCGTTTTTACACGTAAGTGGAACCTAGTTTGTTTCACGAACGAAGAAATTGAGTTAGTAAACGTACGTTGATTAATTGGCAAAATTCAGAAGTAATTAAAATAAATATGCAAACACGTCCATCAAGACGTCTAATATTCTCGGTTTTACGTTACCATCTCAAGTTTCTTTGGAAACACACCGAGCAAGTTTGGTAATGGAGTTTCTATCCGTTTCACACCAAGCTTTTAATAATGCTGTCTGAAATGTTTGACTACGTTTGTTTAAACGATCCCATAAATATTTAATTGGATTAATCCTTCAGGCTGGTAATTATGCAGACTGGCTAACGCCCCCAAACGGTAGTTTATTTTGATGAGTTCAGTGAATTTGGTATAGACTTATTTAAATTT